ATCGGTCGATAGCCGCACGGTTTAAGGCATCAGTCCTTTAATCGTGTGCAAATTTCTGCCCGGGTTCGATTCCCGCGGCCGGTAGACCGTAGATTAGCTATGCTTGTACGGAGGATTGGCACCCTCTGTGCAGGTATGGTAGGGTGGAAGAATGTTGGCTTGGGTCAATGTGAGAGATTGACACCGGTTGGCATTTGACCACCCCCCTAATTAATGAGGTTTTCCAGGTTTCCCTCATTCCTGCACTGAATGGTGGTTAGGGCCTACCAACATAAGTCGTTCTTGGGCGCAAATGCGGCCTGCTTAAAAATAATAATAATATACCGCCTCCTCTCCCGCACAAGTCTCCGACTTCTGGGCTAATTCTCGTGGTTAGAATGAGGGGTAGAGATATTATTATTATTATTAACGTATTTATTTTATTCTTAGAAGATTTTGACAAGTAATTTTTATTTACAACTAACGCATTTAATGTATTTTACTGACGATAGTGATACACATTTTTTCTCAAAAATGGTACTCCAGAAAACCCTGCATATGTCGTAATACCTTTCCCTACTCTAATTAATTAATAGGTATACAATCAGTTTTACAAATATTTAACCAACCTCGCTTCTTATCATTTCAGAGATTCCAATTGTTTTGATCGGACACATCTCTCTAGATAGACACCTGCCCTCCTGGAACTGGGAAACAACAATTTATCACTTACCCTGCTGCCGTGCCTAATAATGGTCTCCTCGAGGGCGTGCACCCACTTCTGCCTCTCTTCTGCGTCTCTAGCTTGGAAGTGGAAGGTCTTGTGGTCGACCGTCACCGTGAACGTGCTGTCGTCCTCGTCGTCTATCCCGATGACGGCCCCCTTTAGACGGACGCAGCCCCTCCGTACCCCTCGCATCATTTTCTCTTTTGACTGCAAAAGAAAACAAAGTTCCCTTTAATGCAATAGCACTGCAATACATATTTTATCTTGACGACTTCTTAACTTGTTGCTTTTCATTGACAATAGGTTCAGTCAAAGTTTGTTTTCACATTTTCCGGAAACACCTAACCTCCTAAATATGTGGTGAAAAAATCGGGTCGATTGGTTTAATGTTACCCGTAATATAAATTTCTAATTCCTAAAATATTTGGTGCGGTCCAAGCCGTTCGAAGAGCATTTGTGACGTCACACCACTCGACTGGTTCGACTCGATGGTTCAACGCGCTGTTAGTTATTGTCTCAAGTTGTTTAAGCCTAGGTTATCCCAAAAGTAACGCAGGATTTGAATTGTGCGCCATTTTCACTCCGAAGAGTTGGCAACATTGTGCAGGGTCACCTGTGTAGTAAACACGTTGCAGTTGGACAAAATAGAGTGCTATACGACGGATGAGCGAGTGAAGGTTGTAAAAATTCATTACAAATACGGAGAGTGTGTAGCTGAGACTATGCGCAAATTACGTGGAATCTTCGGTAGAAGGAACGCACCGAATGAAATGACTGTGAAAAGGTTAGTTGCCAAATTTAAACAGGTATTGGCCGTTCAACTAATTGTGTACTGAATATGAATTAAAAAAAATAGCTGAATGAGCCCATTACGATTAACCGTGTTAATAAAATATTCCCATTGTTTTTAAAATATGTGGGTGAAATAAAAAATAAAAGAGAATATCACTTTTAAATCCAGGGAAATTACAGAACAGCCTTGTTAATTTGAAAGGATAAACGCAGTTATAATTATGGAAATTTATACTAAATTTTACAATTGCAATGTGTTTTACTCACCAATTTAATTGAAATACCTTGTGTAGAATTATGTATTGTAATATATACTTCTGATGACGTACTTTCTTACATTGTCTTGTTACACTTTAAAATGTATTACCCTTAATTATTTTTCACGTTATATTCACGTGATTGCTGAAGACTATGAGAAACATCAACGTTGTGTTGTTTATTTTAAGATTAGTTTATTTAGTAGATTAGTATGTTAATCATTATCAAAATTCATATTTTATAAGAATGAAGTTAGCAACTATGTAGTTGTTAATTAAGTTGTTTTTAGCAACATCTGAGTAAGTGCTGTTAATGCATTATAACCTAATTATAATCTAGCATTTTATTATTTCTGATCGAGTGAAATGAATTTAGTGTATTATTAGAACATATTATAGAAGTGAATATTTCATGAGAGTTAAATGAACAAGACGAAAATTGAAAATAATGGCATAACATATAAAATTATTTAGATTTACATCAAAATTTTCTTTCTATGTAATGACGCAATTGGAAACTTTTTAAATAAATTTAAGTCACTAATTTCTTTTATGCATTCCATCCATCCATATATTTAAATACTATTAGTCTAAGTAGTATGTAGTTAAAGTAAATCTTTCTTTATTTTCCTAGTACAGGTATTTTTATAAAATTAAATAAGGTATGATTCTGAAGTATGGAGTGAAGCTGCAGAATGTCTAATTTTAATTTTTGGTCCTTAAAATCCAGACTTACAACAACGCATTTTTAAGGCCGGTCGTCCTTTGGATGCGTTTTCGTCCGAATTGGATTCGTTAGAAAGCGGATAAGAAAACTACTTTCCAAAAGATAATCGCAGCCATAAAAAAAAGTTGTCTGTATTTTTCATGCGACGTATGTTATCCATAGTATTTTTGCCTCCTGATCATGAATCCGATGTCAGAATTGAGCTATCACATCACAGGAATTTCTTAACTTCAAAAAAACAGTTCAAAAATAGCAAAAATGCACGTAAAAGTGCTAGCAAAAATACAAAAAAATTTTTTTCTATATTCAAATGGTCATTTATATGGTTAAGACCCTGCCGAATGTGAATTCGTGGTCAGAATTGATGGTTCTCTTTCTAGCCTCAAAAAAACGGGTCAACTAACGTCAGATATAACGAATTTTCAAAAAATAATAGATTCGGGCCAAATTTGGTATACGGGGGTTTTCGGGGTCGCTGATCACTAGAATTTGGGGTTTTCGTCGGCTAGTCATAGGCGTGTTAATCGTAAACAAATAAATAAACATAAAAATAAATAAATTTTCGTACTTTACTAGCGAAAGTTCCTTTTTTTACCTCTTGGCGTATTCGACATTATTAGAATATTAAAACACGTATACACAGAGCAAACGCGAAGCCAAGAACTGCCGTTATTACCGGTTTTGTACGATTTGCTGTAGCGAAAGGCCGACGCGACGGTTATGATCATCCGACCGAGTCCCGAAGTCTACTGGATCACGAATTCGAGGTCAGAATTACGAAATTCATTTTGTAATATTTTTGTTTTTCTTTATAACCCGAGTACCCAATCATGTTTTACCCTTCTTTTTTTCGGATATATCTTGTTCTTCTTTCTGTAAAATATTTATTCACGGGTTTTCTGCCTAATCTCAGGTAAAGAGTACATACATTTTTAAAAACGAATTTTGTAAATTTGATCTCGGATTTGGACTTAGGTATGGACAAAAAGCGTCTAGTAGAAAAAAGATAAAAAAATATAAAAAATAGCGTTTTAAAGCTTAAATGGAACAGATTAAGGGAAAAATAATCACATTTCATCAGCACCCCATTTACACCCTCAAAATTGTGCCCCAAAATTATAATTTTGAAAAAAAAAATACATTTTTTGCTCTCGTTTGAAACAATTTTTTTTTCAAATAATACAAAACATTTTTTTATAGTTTTTGAGATGAGGAATAAGAATCCATTGTTTAAATTGAGCTAAAAAAATTTAGAACCCTTAAATTTACGAATATTTCAGTTTATGATATTTTTATATCAGATTTCCGCTCTTATGCATCGATTTGCTTGAAATTTGGATATTAGGTGGGGAATAGCTCAAGAATCAAAATACACCCTATGCTGATATATATTTTTACCCTGGGGGTGGTTTCTACCCCTTTGAAGGGGTTGAAAATAAATTTTGTCAAAATAATCCCGGGAATCGTTTATAATTTTTTTTATGAAAAAATGAATTTTCATTTGAAAAATTGAATTTTCAATCGCAAATAACTCAAAAAGTATTGATTTATCAAAAAAATTGTATGGAACATTTTTTGCTTGAAATTAGTTGCTCTATATACTCCCGGGATTATTTTGACAATTTATTTTCAACCCTTTCAAAGGAGCAGAAACCACCCCCAGGGTAAAAAAATATACCTATCAGCATAGGTATTTTGTTTCTTGAGCTATTCCCCACCTACTGTCCAAATTTCAAGCAAATCGATGCATAAGAGCGGAAATCTGAGCAAAAAACATCATAAAATGAAATATTCGTAAATTTAAGGGTTCTAATTTTTTTTTAGTTCAATTTAAACAATGGATTCTTATTCCTCATCTCAAAAACTATAAAATAATGTTTTGATTCATTTGAAAAAACATTTTTTTTCAATCGAGAGAGCAAAAAATGTAATTTTTTTCCAAAATTATAATTTTGGGGCTCAATTTTGAGGGTGTAAATGGAGTGCTGGTGAAATGTGATTATTTTTCCCTTAATCTGTTCCACTTAAGCTTTAAAAGGCTGTTTTTTTAATGTTTTTATCTTTTTCTACGAGGCGATACTTAATTTTGTCCATACCTATGTCCAAATGAATTATAGTGCGCCGGATACCAAATTTGGCGCAAATGTGTTATTTTTTGAAAATTTGGTCGGCCATCTTGGATCTGCCATCTTGAATTTTGTAAAATTGACCTCGAATTCGTGATCAGTGACCCCGGAAACCCCCGCGTAGGTACCAAATTTGGCGCTAATCTGTTTTTTTTTAAAATTTGGTCGGCCATCCTGAATTTTGCAAAATTGAATTCGTGATCAGTGACCCCGAAAACCCCCGTATATCAAATTTGGCGCTAATCTGTTATTTTTTGAAAATTCGTGATATCTGACCTTAATTGACCTTTTTTTTTTGAGGTTAGAAAAAGGACAATCAATTCTGACCGCGTATTCCCGTTCGGCGGGGTTTTAACCATATAAATGAACATTTGAATATAAAAAAAAAATTTGTATTTTTCCTAGCACTTTTACGTGAAGTTTTGCTATTTTTTAACAGTTTTTTGAGGTTAGGAAATTTCTGTGATGTGATAGCTCAATTCTGACACCGGATTCGTGATCAGGAGGCAAAAATATTACGGATAACATATGTCGTATGAAAAGTAGACAACTTTTTTTTTGTGTGGCTGTGTAATCATCCATATTATTAACAATTATACGCTTAATTGATAAATCAGTATGTATGAGTATGACTGACTTCTGCAAAGCAAAAACTTGTCCAGTGGACGATATCACATGGGCGAAATCTAACAAAATTATCAGTCGCGATTTCTGACGAAAATAATTCGGTCGAAAACGCATCCAAAGGACGGTCGGCCTAATGCTTACTGTTGTTGCTGTTGCTCACTGGCAAGAAGTTTGATATTCACTATGTTAACCCATCTCTTATAACATGGGTCGGCAAGTCATTTTAAGTAGAGTCCGGATACTTTTGAAAATTTTTAACGAGGTCCAGAAAAAATCATTTTCTTTACTAATTTTTTATTTTAATTTGCACTCACAAAATAATATGAAATAAAATAGATAGGCATATTTGTATTAAAAAATCAATGGGAGAAATTACATTTGCAGTCTTGAGCTAGTTTTTTTTACTAACCTACTAACCATTAAAAAATGATAAAAGTGGCACTCAAACGTACTTTTATCTACAGAAAAATATTTTTTAAATAATTTAAGTAATTATTCTTTAGAAAAATTCTTGGCGGTCCAGTTTTTACCTTCCGTGGTCCGGATCTAGACCGCGGTCCGCTAGTTGCCGACCCCTGTCTTATAAGATTAGAGGGATTACCACCGTCATCAACTTTGCTAACTTTTACGTATATGTATCAGGATGTTTATTTATTTTACTTATTGTTTTATTTATATATTTTATTTTCAAACTAATATTCTCAAAAAAAGTTGAGATATGAAATATCTCAGTATCATGGGGCTGACTATAGATATTTGAAAATTGAATAGTTACTTTCACTGACACTTTCCCAAAAATTTCTTGTGTATACAATCGCTGTATCTGCATATGAAATCGTGTTATTGTGGAAACAGCAGTCTCTTTTGACCCATTGTGCATGTCGCTAAAAAGAGTTTTTAAAATAGACACATGCTCCATGCGAAGACAAGCGCTCTCCTGAAGTCTCTCTAATGTCCAGATGCGACAGAAATGTTGCCCCTAGGTACATATTTATGTCTTTTCAGTGTTATTTAAGCGAAATGATATGTATAGAATCCTTGTCTTCATGTGTGCATATCCCGTAACTCGCGATATGAAATCATACTACTCTTTAAACCTTAAAGTACAAAAATATTGTTTATATACAGGGATGGCCAGAAGTACGGAATAGAATTCATATCTTTTGAATGAGTTAATTTTTTTTAAAACGCCGAAACACGTTAACTGATGATTTTCCCATCTTTCGGTTATATAATAATTAATTTTTCTTCAACCCCCTAACCCCCAGCTACCCCTACTTTTTTTTCAAATGGAAACATAAAGCATGAGGCGGCTCGTTGAAAAGCTTATAGAAAACTTAATCCAGCCATACCAAATAAACAAGTTTTATTTTTTCAATAGCAAGGTTTTTAGGGTTGTATAAAACACCTACTTAACAAGTGAAATAAAATTTAATTATCTTCAATGTTATCCTCCATGAATTTGCACAGAATAAAATAAAGAATTTGAAACTGTACCTATCACTGCTAACGCAAAAAATATATTTTTTATGTTGCGTTTTTTTGGCACCACTTACTTGCCAGGCTTTCTGGTTAATTTTTCGCTTTAATTGTAAATTGGAGTTCGAAACGTTACTATTGTGTCAAAATCAAGTTATTTACTGAATTGCAATGGTATTGTCGGAAAGGCAACGCATCGAAATATTGATATTGCTTGGATGTGGAGACAAAATAAGAAGTCAGGCTGAAGTGCGCGATTTATTTAATGCGAAATATCCCGAAAACCAAATCTCGCAAGGGACAGTTAGTAAAATATTTCACAAATTTGAGGAACACGGTACAGTACAGACTTTGCCCAAAACTGGACGGGCACGTGCTTTGAATGAAGAAAAGAAATTAGACATTGCATTAGAACTTGTTGAAAATCCTCATACTTCAACTGTTTCATTGGCCCGCAATCACGATGCTTCTCGAACTGCAATTCGAATGTTTCTGAAACAAGAGAAATACCACCCCTATAAGGTATGTCTTGTCCAAGAGCTTTTGGAAGACGATTATGATAGGCGATTACAATTTTGTGAGGAAATGATGAGACGGTGTGACGACAATAATGGTTTTCAACGAGACGTACTTTTTTCGGATGAAGCTACGTTTTATTTAAATGGAGTGGTTAACAGGCACAACTATCGCTTTTGGTCCCAGGAAAATCCACACTGGACATGCGAATCGCATACGCAGCATCCACAAAAAGTTAATGTATGGGCAGGTATCATCAACAACAGAATCTTGGGCCCATTCTTTTTTGAAGAAAATCTTACTGCCGCACGCTACCTGGATTTCCTAACATTTGACCTGATACCTGCTCTAGCTGTGATTTTCCCTCATGAAATTGATCCAGATATACCGAATGAAAGAATTTGGTTCCAACAAGATGGCGCTCCCCCACATTTTGGTATTGATGTTCGAAGATACTTAGATGAAATGTTTCCAAATCGCTGGATTGGTAGACGGGGTACAGTTGAATGGCCGCCAAGATCCCCCGACTTAACACCCCTGGATTATTTTCTTTGGGGATATTTGAAAGAAAGAGTCTACCAGGACAGACCGGATAATATTGAGAATTTAAAGAACAAGATTAGGGCGGAGATGCATAATTTACCAGCTGAAGTCATTCAGAATGCTGTGGACAGCTTTTACTATCGTCTTGGAGAATGCCAAATAGTGAATGGAGGACATTTTCAGCATTTGCGACATTGAGTTTATTTTTGTAAATTATCTAGTTGTTTCAATTTCTAAATGAAAAAAAACTTGTTATTGAAAAAATAAAACTTGTTTATTTGGTATGGCTGGATTCGGTTTTCTATAAGCTTTTCAACGAGCCCCCTCATGCCTTATGTTTCCATTTGAAAAAAAAAGTAGGGGCAGCTGGGGATTCGGGGGTTGAAGAAAAATTAATTATTATATAACCGAAAGATGGAAAAAAATCAGTCAACGGGTTTCGACGTTTTAAAAAAAATTTACTCATTCAAAATATATGAATTTTATTCTGTACTTCTGGCCATCCCTGTATACTAATACAGCCGCCCATTAGCTAGTTCTATAATTTGGCGGAGTCGCCAGTGATAATATTAAATTCCGAAGCTTATGTCATCAAAACCCAATTAGTAAATTTACGACGGAAGAATTCGCTTATGAGAGTATTTATTTTTAGATTTTTTATAGAAAATTTAATAAAAAAATTAATTAAATGACAACTGAAAAGGGGGAATGACTTTTTTTAAAAACCTCCAAATGTGTTAGAGGTCCAAGAGAAATTCCACAATATGCTATTTGAAAAAAAATCATTGATAATGTTAGTATTACACATGAAAACAATTTAATCGATACTCATTTAAAACGGAAATTGATATGTTGTACCAACAATAACGTCTAACACTTTTACTTAAAGTCATCATTCATATATAGTCCAGTCGACAGAGGCCGAAAAGTTACTGTTGGTGACATTTCCTTGACAACTCGGAAATAACTACACAGGAATACTTTAAATGATGAGTACAATAACATGCTAATTTGCTGACAAAGTATTTTATCAGGAAAAAAGTTATTAACAATTTAATCGTGAAAATTTTTTTTTTTTAGTTTTCTTTAAATAACTCAGCGGGATGACTTTGTACGAAAAAATGCTTAGGACATGATTTTGTGCGTAATAAAAATAGCTACAAAATGGCGTGGTCCTATTACGAAATTTGCAATAATAAAGCCGTGAAATTGAAAAAACGGTATAAAACGTCAATTTTTTAAAGTTGCTGTAAAAATGTCAGTTATAAACAAAAAGTGATAAAACTTTCGAAAACTATAGTTCAATATAAATACAATAATGACGCTAAAGCCGAAAATCGGGAGAGCAAAACTTTTTGTTCTATAAGGTTTTATACATCCATCGGCATCTAAAACTCGAAACTTTGCCAAATTTGTTTGAAGTTTTGCTGACACTTGAAACTTGGTATACACATAGTGTAAATATGCAGAAACCAAAAGCAATTTGCAAAATTCAATTATCTACATTTTTGCAGCTTTGGTAAGGTTTTATACGTCACCCTAGTTTTATACGTCACCGTTTTTTTAAATTTTTGGAAAAATATATATATTTATAAAATATTCCATCATGGTAGACTAACCAGCACAATTACCTACAATTAAAAAAAATAATAATTTTCATCGTTTAGATCCTAAGCTACTTAAGATTTTGCGCCTGTTAGCCGTAGTCGTACATTATTAAACATAGCAACATAAAACAAAATCGTACGTGTGGGGTAAACCTTTAACTTTTCATTTTCGAGCGCGAGTTTCGCTCTTCGGCGCTTGTATACTATTAGAAATATGCAACCGTAAATTTAAACAATTGTTTACTTAAAGTTAAAGGTTTACCCCACACGTACGTTTTTGTTTTATGTTGATATGTTGAATAATGTACGAGTATGGCTAACGGGCGCAAAATGTTAAGTAGCTTAGGATCTAAACGATGAAAATATATTTTTTTTTAAATTGTAGGTAAACTGTGCTGGCTAATCTACCGTAATGGAATATTTTATAAATATACATAAATATACGTCCAAAAATTAAAAAAACGGTGACGTATAAAACTAGGGTGACGTATAAAACCTTACCAAAACTGCAAAAATGAAGATACTTGAATTTTGCAAATTGCTTTTGGTTTCTGCATATTTACACTATGTGTGTACCAAATTTCAAGTGTCAGCAAAGCTTCGAACAAATTTGGCAAAGTTTCGAGTTTCAGATGCCGATGAATGTATAACACCTTATAGAACAAAAAGTTTTGCTCTCCTGATTTTCGGCTTTAGCGTCATTATTGTATATATATTGAACTATAGTTTTCGAAAGTTTTATCACTTTTTGTTTATAATTGACATTTTTACAGCAACTTAAAAAAATTGGCGTTTTATACCGTTTTTTCAATCTCACGGCTTTGTTATTGCAAATTTCGTAATCGGACCACCGCCATTTTGTAGCTATTTTTATTACGAACAAAATCATGTCCTAAGCATTTTTTCGTACAAAGTCATCCCGCTGAATTATTTATAGAAAACTACTAAAAAAAAATGTTTCAATATTAAATTGTTAATAACTTTTTTCCTGATAAAATACTTTGTCAGCAAATTAGTTGTACTAATCATTTAAAGTAGGCCTGTGTAGTTATTTCCGGGTTATCAAGGTTTGACACAGGCCGAACCTCTACCAACTGGACTAATAATCTACTCATATTTCCATGATTCTGTTTAAAATATTCTCAAAACGACTCGGATCAAACTTAACGTATGCAATAAAATAATGCATTTAGTTTTAATTTAAATAAGTATAGTACGTATATACAAACTAGCGAATCATTAAAGCAAATCCTCTTTAACACCTTAACTGGTGTATTAAAAATTACATAGGTAACTAGTATTATTTCAAGTCATACTATTCATTAGCAACGAATTACCAAACAAAAGTAGTTGTTTGACCCCAGTTGCATTATAAATTTGCGTAAGACTTCCAGAAACCCCAGTACTTGTGCGGGGCTTGGGTAGGGTGATACCAAAAAGCAAAAAAAAACAAAAAAAAATAAAAAAATTAATGATATGGCTTCTGTGGTGCAGTTTTATGAAGACTTTATGTCGGAACATTCTGGTACGTAATGATAATGTAATTTTGACCATATTTTCTTTAAACAGTAAAAACAGTTATTTTATTTGAGCCAAACGAAAATTATTAAATCGAATATAACCTTAAAATTAAAACTTAACTGTTCCTTTTCAAGCGAAATAGTTTCAATTTTGTTTACAGTTTACAGATAGACACAAGTTGTCCTTTTCTTTTCTGGGCATCTTTATTGAAATTATTTTAATAGACAGCTCAATATACAGAACAATTCTGCATGCAATGTTTTTCAGACAGAAAGTTTTTACACAACAAACTGTTTTTGTCACATATTTATTCTTTTATCATACGACAATAAATTATTACAATAAGGTAACAATATGTGCAACATCTTCTCATCTAAACGTAATTAATTGTTGCTCTATGAAAACTAATTACAAGTTTGCATCTTTCGAGAAATTTCCAACCGTCTTCATTAAATCTGAACTGAACATAAATCTATACATATATTCATATCCATATTTAATGTAGATGTTAGAAGCCGCAAAGGGTCAGCTGCTTTACTAACAAATATAAAATAACAGCCTTCGAAATGAATTTCAAATAGAAACTAATTTTATCGGCATTGCTCCGATACTATTTATCCACGCTATCACTCTGTTGATTAAAATTATTTAACAATAAATCAAACTTTTAATATTTATTGCCCTTACATTGTAAAATAAGGTAAGAACAGATATAATATTTAGAGCATTGAAATGATATAGTATAATAAGTAATTATATATCATTATAAATAATAATAGTAATAGCAATATAAAAAATAATACCGTCACTTTTTGAAGGCCAATTTTAAAGCTTCTATATATTATACTGGGTGTAACGTAAAGGTTGGGAATAAATTAAAGGGTGGATTTTTTTATTTAAAAAATATTTTTTTCTCATATGAAGTTATGCTCTACGGGTTTTCTTTTCCAAGCTACAGGGCGCTAATAAGTTTCAAAAAAATTAATTTTTCTCCAATAAATCGAACATTATAAGAAAATGGAACGAAATTTTAGCCTTAGCTTAATTAGATAATCCCTAGGAACAAGAAAAAGATTGATTTGTAAGTTACTGAGTGGCGTGCGTACGAATTGTACCGTAAGGTTTTTTGAGGAAAATTATGGTACGCCACTGGTAAAAACATTTTTTAAATATTTTTTTATGATCCACTTCTTATTTTAAACAAAATTACCCTCTTGCGTTTTATTTCTAGCTCTTGTTATTTTTCCTTAAATAAAACTTTTGTAAATACCATTTTCCCCCACTGCTAATATAGGAAAATAAAAATAACATAAACATTATGAAGTATGCTTTGACTCAGCCACCGAACATGGTCAAATAGGTATTGAAAAAAGATTTTTGCATTGAAAATGATATTAAAAAACTAAATTTTTTGAAATTATTTAGCACCCTGTAGCTTGAAAAAGAAAACCCGTAGAGTATAATTTTATAAGACAAATATTTATTTTTTAAAATGAAAAATCCACCGTTTAATAATTTATTCCCAACCTTTACGTTACACCCTGTATATTATAAATAACTATATTTTATTAATGATCATTTAAAAGGCAATCCTTAAGATGCAAAAATAGTTGAAATCTTTCTATCATGGTTATAAATGGGTGATGGTTTTTGTTAAAGATCAAACAAGAACAACAAAACTTTAAAAAATTACATTATTTAATAATTTCAATACGTCAAGTGCGTGATTTTTCCATTAATAAAATTTAGATATATAATTTTTAGTTTTTATTTCAGATAATTGTTAATTACTAATTTGTGTATGTGGTTAGATATATTTTGCATACCTAGATGCTTGGTACCAACGATTTACTGAAGATTTAACATTTGATAAGATTTAACACAATGTTTATAATTAATTTGAATTAGTTTAATACCTTCGAAATACAGTAAAAGTACAAGAGATAACGATAAAATGCATATTTCAATTGAAAAGAAATTTTACCTAGATATAAAAAATCGAAAAATAGGGTGATTTATAAATGGTGGTACTATTTTATTTAGAAAAATATGCCACCGATACCCTGTATCTCCGCTACTGGAGCATGTAAATTTTAGGAAAAGCCCTCAGATTTTAGACAATATTTACATAAATACATGTGTCAAATTTCAAATTATTTCACTTACTAGTTTTTAAATTATTTAAAAAAATTAAAAATATTTTCTGAAGTTTAACACCTTGTATCTTTTTAACGAAGCGTCCTAGATAGAAACTTTATAGGAAAGATTCCCCTTAAAATTCACCAAAGAATACAAAGTTTTATTTTTGGTCATCATTTGTGAATCACCCTGTATGTACGGTGTTTCATTAGGAAAATATGTTTGCATCTCTGAAAAAAACTAGAAGTTATAGAGAAATATAGCGTACGCCACTGGATTTTACTCAAAAATTTGTATAAATACCCTAATTAGAAATAAAACTTAGTCACATTGATTAAGAGAAACAACACCGCACAATTTGTGAATTATGCAATCAAATTTTTTCAGATCCAAGAGTCGAGAACTGGACTTTTATGGACACCCCACTACCCACTTTATTTATAGTATTGGTGTATTTAGCTACCGTACTAGTGCTCCTACCGACGTATATGAAGAACAGGAAGCCTTTTCAACTAACCCTAATTATTAGATATTACAATATTTTTCAGATAGTAGCATGTTCATTGATCATTTATAAGGTAAGAAAATAGACAATCTTTATGCGAAACATGATTCCCAACTTGCCTTTAAAAGGTTACTTTCAGTGTATAGGGGTAGAGTCCAATAATGCATTGACTATTCAGAACATTTTTTTAGAATATGTCAGATTTAACATCGTACCCTTGTGATAAAACTTTTTGAAGTAAATAGGTATTTTTCTATACAAAGATTTTTCAAGAACGTTCTCTTTCAAGTACAAGGTGGGCCAAAAGAAGTCATCCGATGTTGTTTGGCTCTCATTTTTTTTTCTAAATGAAAAACTTCGATTCTGTTTTTTGATTATGTTTATTTGATTCTTTAGAATTTTATTGGTCAAGTCGAGAAGATGATATCGGCCAAATGGGCGCCGCCACAATTGATTGCTATACGGGCTCGTTTTATGGCATTTTTCATCACTTCGGCGAGAACTTCGGGCGACAGATTCTCGCACTCGTGTCGAATGTTGTCCTTGAGGGCTTCCAGGGTCTCGGGCTTGNAGAACAGGAAGCCTTTTCAACTAACCCTAATTATTAGATATTACAATATTTTTCAGATAGTAGCATGTTCATTGATCATTTATAAGGTAAGAAAATAGACAATCTTTATGCGAAACATGATTCCCAACTTGCCTTAAAAAACCCCACAAAAAAAGTCTGGAACGGTTAAATCGGGCGATCTTGCGGGCCAGTGCAAATCGCCAAAACGAGAGATGAGGCGACCCGGGAACGTCGCCTTTTGAATATCGGTTGTGGCTCGCGCAGTGTGTGCCGTTGCTCCGTCCTGTTGGAACCACATGTCCTCCAGTCCCAATTCGTTCAATTGCGGCAGAAAAAACTCGGTTAACATGGCCCTATAGCGCGCACCGTCCACTGTTGTCGTTTGACCAGCGGCGTCCTCGAAAAAAAAAAAATGGCCCGATGACTCCTCCAGCGTGAACAGCGCACCATGCAGTCATTTTGAGCGGGTGTAATGGCTCCTCGTGCATCACTCGTGGATTTTCGGTGCCCCAGAAGCGATAGTTTTGCTTGTTCACGTACCCGCTGAGGTGGAACACTTCGTCCTCGAGATTGAGGATGGCTTGGGCGTAGGTTACACGCGTTTGGCGGTCGACAGGCAGCAGCTGATGCACGGACTGGACTTTGTACGGGAACATGCGCAGGTCTTTGACGAAAATTCGCCTTAGGGACGACCGGCTGATGGCTAATTGCGAGGCACGGCGTCTGGTCGATGTTTCTGGCGACAGCTCGACATCCTCGGCAACAACGGCGATATTCTCGGCAGAACGGGCGCTCCGGGGCCGTCCACTCTTGGCAGCGTCTGGTGTGGTCCCATACTCTTCAAGGTTGGTGGCCAAACGGCGCAGTGTTTGCGCAGTCGGTGCCGGACGACCGGGGAATCGGCGACGGAATTCGCGCTGCGCCAACACCACAGATGAATTGTTACGCAAAAAAATAGACACAATTATTCCGCGTTGTTGGGGAGTGTATCGCTCCATGGCTTGTTCACTTGTATTCTACATCTGTCTAGTTGACAAATGTCAAAACAGATTTGACATTGGCCGCCATTTGCAAAAATAAGAGCATCTTCCAATAGGGTGATTTCTTTTGGCCCACCTGTTACAAGGTGATACAATAATTAAAGAAAAACGACTCTTTTTCTTCTAAATTGAAATCGTCTCGATATTTTTTATATCTGTTATAGTTTCGGGGTATTTTTTTATGTTTTAAACTAATTTCTTGTTCAATTACTTTCTTGAACAAAAAATGCAAAGCGTCAATTGGGAAAGTATAAAAAACAGATTTTTTGATCACCTATGCCAGATGGAGCATTTTTTGAAAAATGCTGTCGAAATTATAAGAGGTCTGAGGGGTTTCAACTCTCAAAAAAGTTATTTGACGTAAAAGACAATCTTCCTTTACAGATTTAGCCTATTTCCAATCAAAACTTTTGTGCTATTTCAGTTTCTGTTACTGTACATATAATCCGTATGATATTTATCCAAGAAAAGAATAAGCCATTCCCTTTATTTTATATTCAGCACATAGATAAATATATCTCTTGAAATTAGATGTTAAAGGAAACTATACTGAAGATATTAATCTTCACTTGCAATAGCCGCCATTTAAACAAAGTATATAATTTCCTTAGATAGCCAATGCGGGATGGATAACGGGTGAATATAGCTTTGGATGCCAACCAGTAGATTACTCCGACAATCCCAAAGCAGTAAGTGTGGCGATGGCCTTTTTCTGGTACTATTTGCTGAAGTTGGCAGAACTATCGGAAACCATATTCTTCGTGTTGAGGAAGAAATTCAACCAAGTTAGTGGACTGCACTTGTACCACCACGCATCGACTTTATGTTTGGCCTGGATAGGATGCAAGTTTCTTGCAGGTAATTTTGATAAATTTATAAAAAAATGTAGAAATAGAAATCAACAAAATTATGTTTACTGTGATTAACTGTCGAAATTTGTTGGTACTAATTGTTTTTGTATTACAGGCGGAATGGTGTCCGTGCCAATCATGTTAAATTCCTTCATACATGTTATTATGTATGCGTACTACTATTTATCCTCATTTGGCCCAGAATGGCAAAAGAAGTTAGCACCTTGGAAACCAAAATTAACTATAATGCAAATGGTAAGTATAGATAGATTGGATCAATTCTGGACCTCCAATGTTAGAGTTCCTCATCTTTGCTTCCTAGTTAGGTTTCGCAGCTTTACAACACAGTGGCTTCTCTACATATCTTCTAGATTCCGGTTTTTCGCTTCCGAACAGTAGACAGCGCACCTTCAAACTCTCAAAGTACTGGAGTTGCGGTTTCCTATTTCTCCAGGCAGAACCAGAACCTACACAGACTATCTTCTACCAGAACGAAATTTGCAGATGTTTCCTACTGTTGGTCCAGAGATTTTTCACCTACTGCAGCATGAGCATCTTAATACCCATGTAGTAGTGTTCAAGCCCTTATAGGGCTGTAGATGCGCCTGTTTTGGCTTTCTCATTGTCCCGTTGTCCCTCAAGTCTTGGTATTCAAGCTAGGGTCAAATAATATTCACTTCCTAATATGTATAATTTTCTTCGAAAGAATTAACTTAAAAATTACATGACCTCTTTTGATACACATTCACAATAATCATCATAATTTCCGTATTTTTTAATAAGATGAATACTGGTACTAAGAATACTTAATTGATGTCTATTTTTTTTATAGATACAATTCACTATTTTGATTACTCATTCCCTCAGTGCTCTCCAACCCACCTGTAAAATTCCGAAACTAATGTTGCTTCTATACGTTCCAAACATACTGCTGGTCTACAAAATGTTCTACGATTTCTACCAGAACAGCTATCAGAAGAGGAAAAGCGTGTAAGCTATTTAACAATCTGTAATAAATAAATGAAAACGGAAATTTAAATATTGCAAATTCTATACCCACAACTAAAAATCCATTAAAACTACGTTTCCACATAATATTTACATTATTTATATACTTACAGTTTTTAAACTTTTATATATGATATTTTTAATACAACTTTAAAAATGTTTAAATTCTAATTACTAGAAATTATAAATGAGACATGTTGTAAATCAATGTTCATTTTGTATTTAATTAAAATTAGGAGATAGTCAGTAGTGCACCCAGAAAAAAAGTTACGAGAGCAAAATTTAAATAAAAACAAAATATCTCAAAGAGACAAATACTCTCTATGTAGGGTGAAAATAATGGGTCTTTCCCCAACCTGGAAATTTTGCCGAACCACTACTTTTGTCGAGGGGTGGGGATATTTTACTTTCCTAACATTGTTTAGACAAAGGATCAACGTGAGGGTCCTTTGCGAGGTATGGTAGGTCTTCCTATAAACCTATGCTAAATTTGTATAGCTTCTGTGAAATACACCGACATACAGGCTATTAGAAGATGGACGAGCATCGCGAGCCTTCTCAATATGTTAAAAAATTTATTAAAACCGTCCCTTAAACACAGTTTAAGGGAAGATTTTTTTTACAGAACTTCGATATCCTGTAAATGTGTTGTGGTTTATGGTTTGACCTACTTATTTGTAACACGCTATATAAATTGAGTAATTAAACAATAATTAACAATTAACAAGCAAAATAATAAAATATAAAATGATAATGACTTCTACTCCGAAGCAGATCTATGGTCTCTTGGCTACCCTCTTGGGTGCACTACTCCTGTAATTATATATCAAAAAAATTAAAGCAAAATGAACTGACATTTTGACTTATAGACTAGGCCCTTTAAAATATAGGGCATATGTAAAATACGAATTTTATTTATTTTTATGACAACATTTATGTAAATTATATTTATGCAATTTTTTTTGTACATTTCTGTTCCAATCAGAACCAGATATGTATCAATGTTCGATAACAATATCGATATAATTATATTGTCGAATTAAAATTGTGTACTCTGGTTCTTTAATAACCTTAAAATATATAACAAATAAATATTGGAAAATTTACATACAACCATATTACGCCGACAATGATTAGCGCAATGTAATTGTCTAATAAAGCTTTATTAGTTGAGTTAACGCATATTTGAACAGTTTTCGTTCATCACTGTGATGGTTCATTAATTAACTAATCACAAAATGTAGTTCCCGCAATTTTTATAGAATCTCTTAAAACCTACATGTCAATGCAATGACTATACAAAAGTAGGTAATATGCAATGTTAGCATTAAAAGATTTATAGTTTAATTTATTGTTAATTTAATATAGTTAATATGACAAATAAATTCACGTCTTTTGATATTATTTTGTTGTTTTATTTTTTTTTGTACAAAAAACACAGTTACTAGTTTATTTGTATAACTTTGTCTGCATCAATGTAATATCAGATATAAAAAAAACTAATCCATTAACGCTGCATAATTACATTTCTCGATTTGTCAGTATCCAAATTAGGTGTTTTCTTCCGTGTCATATGCGTGCAAATGGAAAAAATGTGTTATTATCTTCTCCTTTTTTATTTCAGTGTGGTTTTAAAAACGGAAACGTGTGCGAGTGTTAGTGGCAAATCTATTAATAAGGGTGGTTGTAAATGAGCGAATTTTACAGATCACGAATGGTGTATGATAAACAAGACAAAACATCTGTTATACTGCAAACCAGGAATCAGGAATACTTTAGAATGAGCCCTATTGAGATTAGTAATTTGGGGTTAGTTAGCATTAGCACTTTTAAAATTAGTTAAACCTCTTCATCATCGAGATAAAATGCTAAAAATTGTGCTGGCGCCAGGCATTATTTGCAATTAGTCTCAACAAATGGATTATAGAAGTATTCTATTAGAAATATGGTTTCTAATGCAACGTAACCATTTAGAAGTAACAAAATCATGGACGTAGTAGTTTTGCATTTTTTAGGATATTATCCCCAAGAAAATTAAAAAAATTCTACACTAGCGACTTTTTGAAATTTTCATAACTGCATTATTGTATTTTAAATTGAATTTCTCACAAAAAACTTATAGGAATATTTTGTGAAGACAAATAATATTGGAGTTGATTTCGATTTATTCAACTGAGAACGGGCTTGTTTTCCGAATTAAATATCTATATAATCTTTTTTCTTAAAAATATCAACCGAAATTAAGGGCCCCATATTCTTTAAATAGTGTTTTCCGCAAAGACAAATAATTTCAAACATTTAATAACTGAATAATCTAAAGCTTATCAAATAATAGGAATGTTATGTCATGCTACCTGAGTATTTTCAAAGACGCCGCAGTAAAACGAATAAACAGGTGCAAAAAACGATCAAGCCATCAAGGTTTTAGGTACTGAAATCTACGAAAATACTAACTTTTTTATATATAATTCCACATGTAAATATTCTTATAACATTTACTTGCTTAGTCCTACATATAAAATTGTTTACTTTATTTATAAGTACGTGAAAATAATCCTTAAAATGTGGGGTTAGAATAACAGCAAACGCATGTTTTACAAACGCTTTTTTTAGTTATTATTTTATTTGAGTAAATTTAAATGGTAACAATGAATAAACATCAAGGATTTTATCTTTGTGCTTACTTTTGTTCTACACGTTTTACTTTTAAAGATTTCAGTACCTAAAAACGCCAGAAATTTCACTATTTCTTGGCCAGGAATATGGCCACCTTAAAATGGACTTGTCAAATTTTCAAAATATTCAGTGGCGTCGAAATTCTACGGTTCTTAATAATGGTTAATCTACCTTAAACAATTTAAGAGATATTTAAATAAATGTACTATTTTTTAAATTTTAACATCCTGTATCTCGAAAACGAAGCCTTTTCAGGCACATTTTTATAGAAACTATAACTCTAACTATAACGAACTCTCGTTCGTGACCGAGAATCTACCAATCTACCATTAAAATTTGACAGAGAATTTCTGTCAAAGAATTTCTGACAGAAATTAACGTTCTGTATAATTCGTTAAACTTTTTGTTTCACTTAAATTATTTATTTCTGTATTTTTTTTTTTTGGTTGTTTTATGTCTGCTACTATGGTTAAACACTGACGCCAAGTGACGAGTGAACCAACATGGAAATTTTGCCGAATTCCTACTTTGTCCTACGGTAGGGATATTTTATTTGTCCTCATTGTTTAGACAAGAGACATATGGTTTTATCCTTTCTGAGGGATCTTTATATACAAATCTCACTTAATTTGTACAGCTTCTGTCAATATACCGACGTACAGGACACTAGAATGTGGACGAGCATCGCGAGTCTTTCCTGAATGATGACTAATCCAAGTATGTACTAACCGCGATCAGAGTTGTTCGACTTTTCATTTTAATGACATGAATGACAACTCGTTAGGTCGCACTCGCATTTGATACATAATTTGTTTAAGAACTAATCAAACTAGGTGAATGCCCTTCCAAAATATATGCCAATTAAATTTCATTACACATCGATTATTTTTGGAGATATTGGAAACATTAATAAAAAAGTAACTTTTAACATTTTCAAAAGTCGACGTTATTTTTCAATTTTTTTTATATTCAATTATTTATTGTTATTTATTTTAATTGCGGCACGTCAATCTAAAATGCCCTATGTAAGGATTTATATCACGCCCACGTCATAATTCTAAATTTTAATCTCACATCTGATAAAAGAAAAAATTATATGTTATGTTTACAGATATTTCATTGAAAGATCCAGTTCTATAAAAAGCTTTAGTGCGAAGACGAGTAAAACGTCAATATAAATAAACATCACTAATCCTAACAGTACAGACTAATTAAAAATACGAAATGAACGGATTTATAATGTAAAAAGGGTACAAGGACTCCTGTAAACGGCAGACCTGTTAGATTTTAATTAAGTTCTTTGAAAATTATGAAACTGTGAACGAAAAGTGTTTTTCTCGTTTTAATTCCCAGCGATTTTAGCGATTTGTACAAAGGGCTACAATTTTTTTATAGCTTCAGGAATTGTGTTATCGGATATTCTAAAAAGGTAAAAATATAATATATTGGCATGAGAATAAGGAAATTTCAAAGCAACTATTAGAAAATCACTGTACACTAAATTAAGTACGACAGACAAGATTTGAAATACACTGTAAAAAATTGAGCATTTTGATAATTTTACTTATTTGTGGTAATTGAACTAAAACTAAGTAGTTTCACTCAAATATAAGTACCCGCTAAATAAATTCTGCATATAAACTCGTATTTGGTACACTTGAAGCTAAATCGGAGTAAATGTTCTTATTATTGATGAGTGACCCCACCCCATTCGTTGTCGTGCGTTGTCTTTGTCTATTCCCATCACTCCCATTCGGTCATCTTGTATGGCGTGTAGTGCTGGACAAGTGTCCCTTAATTCGGTTATTTTCTTGAAAATTTTGTTTAAATGCAGTGGTTTTATTACAATAATTAAAAACTATAATATTGAGTCTCGATTAATATTTGGTTAAATAAACGGATAGTTAAATTGTCACCTATACTTTTGACTGAATTTTTTTTTACAGTGTACTTCCAATGCACAGAAATAATTAATCCTGTTCCAAGATGTTTCTTTTATTTTTGATTTAAGGAAATTTTTAATCTACTTTCTACTGACAGCCTCTTATTGGTAGGGAAACTAAGCAAATGCTCATTTTGCCAATGGATTTCATACCACATATACACTGATAAAAATGGTGGAAATTCACATACGATTTTTACATATTTGTAGTGGTTTTTATATAAAGAAAAAGTGAATTAAACATAACTACATAATACATTGTGTAGAATTACACGTTTGATAGTATATTTTCGTTTTGCGATATATTTACCTTTTACATTCTACTTTTATAGTTTAAAATGTTTTATTCCTAATCCTTTGTATGTTTTTGTACTATATTTGAAGTAAATATACGAATTAAAGCGTGAATTTATATGACCTGATTTGGCTCAATCAATCAGATTAATCATCAGATGTGGTGTAACCGATCGTGTGTAGAAATCTACGCTAGTTGTTCAGTAGGCATGTTTAGATTCATGAGTGGCGCAATAACATAGCACAGTATTTTAAATATATAAACATAATGTTATAAATAAATAGTATCGAGGTAAGTAAATAATATGACTGTGTGAATTATATAAATCTCTCTGTATATCTTAATTTCAAGTTATTGAAGAGTATGAGAAACATCAATGTGGTTATTACATTGAACTTTGCCTAATCTTTACACACATACCTACATCTATATTGTGGCTTCCTATTGTACTTATTGCTTTACTTATACTATATTTTGTTTTCAGTGTAGCGTTCTAAACTTTGAACTCTCGAAATAGTTGAAAGATTCCACCTCAAAATGCAACGGGGAGTGATAATTTTACTTTGAAAATATAGAGGGCGTTAGAAGTTTGACTGCCTTAATTTTAACAGACGATAGAATTACATTAAAATAAACAAAAAAACCTTATATGACATGGGTCCTGAACTCAACAATTTCCGAGAAAAATATTATCAAAATCTCAAACTTGATGTACAAAATTTCGATTAATTAAGGAATATTGACATAACTGCGTGCATAGAATACCATAACATACAATGCTTATCACTTTTTTGAACTTCTTTATGCTTAATTCTAAAAAATAGCGTTGTAATACATTTAAAATTCGATGAAGTTCATATTGAGCAATGTGACAACAACGCAGCGGATAACACGAGGTATTAAGCTGTCCAGCAATACGCAATTTAGTTGGTATCTGAAATTGGACCGTGTCTGAGTGTTTTTTGCGTACCACTATTTCCTTTTCTTGAGGTGTTTCCCAGAGAGTGCGCGAAAATTGGATTCGAAGGTGTCGTGCGTGCATCGAACATGGTGGTGGACATTTTGAGCACAAGTTGTAGTTTGTTTTGTACTTAGTACTTAAATTATTTTTAATACGTGATTATTTGGACGACGCGAATCTTTGGGTACTTTAATTACATATTTTCCAAATTCATAATTTGATTAAAAGTTCCTGTTGTAGGAGAATCATAATTACTAAAATTCGAGCTAAAATTTAAGCACAACACTATCTTCGTACATCGGTACATTTTATTTTATTTATTTAAAAACTGGAAAACAACTGTCTTGAAATGTACTAAATGTTTCACAGTAATAGTAGTTTATAGTTTTGTTATTCCGTAGGACAAGTCTGCCGCGTGCACACGTGGTATGCACCAGCTGTGTAGCGTTAGATTAAGCGCTGTTGTCACGTTGTGATGAAACTCCCCAATATTAATACTCGCTGTATTTTGAAAACTGTTAATCTTACGC